AGATTAATGCAGCAATGTACAGAGAAATCTTTGATGAAAACCTGTTCCAGAGCGCTCTGGACCTTAGACTGGGACGATGGTTCCTCTTTCAACAGGACAACGACCCTAAGCACACATCCCATATAACAAAGGAGTGGCTGCAGGCCAACTCTGTAAATGTCCTAGAGTAGCCCAGCCAGAGCCCTGACCTGATGGAGGTTGACAGGTACTGCAAAGGAGAATAGGAGAAATTGCCCAAAAATAGGTGTACCAAGTTTGTAGCATCATACTCAAAACGATTTGAGGCTGTAATTGGTGCTAAAGGTGCTTCAACAAAGTAGTGCGCAAAGGCTGTGAATACTTATGTAAATGTGTTTTTTTTTTTTTTTTTTCCCCTTCGTTTTTTATTTTTAATAAATTGCAAAGATTTCAAAACTAACTTCTTTCACGTTGTCATTCTGGGGTATTGTTTGTAGAATGTTGAGGAAAAAAATTAATCCATTGTGGAATAAGGCTGTAACATAACAATGTTAAGCGCTGTGAATACTTTCTGGATTCAGTATGTGTGTGTGTGTGTGTGTGTGTGTGTGTGTGTATATATATATATATATATATATATATATATATATATATGTGTGTGTGTATATATGCACATTTTTTCATGCTAACATTAGGAGACTTGAAAGCAGAGCTATACTCGGTTTCTCTCCAGCGCTTTCCATCTTCAGCCTGGTGGCTTCTGGGTATCTATCCCTGGCCGTTTTTACTTGGCTGGGCTGAGACAATGTCACAACTGTGCATGTACAAAAGTTGTCATCTTGGCATTACTGAAATCCTACACTGGACTGTGCTTGTGCAGCTCTGTGGGACGTGCAGACAGGCAGGTAAATAACTTTTAATGCAGAAAAGACGTATGTCTCTTCTGCATAGAAAATCCTGTTTGCAATTTTTTCCATTAAAGTTACCATTTTAAATAGGGAATTCACCTATGAGGAATGGAGTAAAATTTGGGACAATGGACATAAACCTATTTGCACAACATGTAAGGAAAACCAATATAAGATTTTCTATCATTGTCCTCTTAAATTCTTTCAATCCTAATATCTCTGCTCTGCTGGAGGAGTATACAGCACCCAGGTTTCATATGGTTTCATATGTATTTGACCTGCCAAGGGATATGTCCATTCTGGCTGGAAGTTAAAGCCCTTTTACAAACTCTTTTACAGATACGTGTTGAGCTTGACCCACACCACATTCTTGCTTGATCTGCTTTTTGCGATTTCTGAAGACTTTATTGCTTCTTGTGAAGATTCTCAAGGATTTCTTGCAATTTGTTGTGCAATTTCCATTATATTTTGTGTATGGGAAATTGTGACAAAATGCAGAAAAGTAATGCAAGAACGACTTTAGAAATTGCGGTGCAGCAAATTGCGAATGTTAAAACTTTCTCCTCAGGTTTATCTATGTACAGTGCAAGAATTTTAACAAACTTTGTTGCAGATTCCAACATTTTGTTATCCTGTAGGAATAGCTGTTTGTGGCCATGGGCAAAGTGATTTGGTATGAGAGTAGTTTTACATTTCTCAAGCCACTGCTGCACCTGCAGGGCTCTGAGGAAATTGGCAAGGCCTGCATCCCTTTTTAGACGCAATTTCTCACTAAAAATGAAATTTTTGTTGCAGGGGATGCCAAAAATCTGACTTGTATCTTAGTGCAGACTTCTGGGAAAATCAGCCAATCACTAAAGCAGGAAATTACATTTTTGGGTGTGATCTGTACATCTATGTACAGAGCACCTCCAGGTAGCCATATTGCATTTTACAGAAAATTACAGAGCTGCAGATTGAAACGGAAAGGTAATTTTTAAGAACATTTAATTACAATATGGCTTGAGTCTCATTTTTATATGCCATATTGCTTTGTTGGGCCATGCACGTTCAAATTAAACAGTCTTTCATCTCCAATTTAAGAAAGCTTTTTTTAGAGTATTCACGCTACGCTCCCTAGAATAAAAAAGAATGGCTCTGAATCAGTTTTGATCATTTTGTTCTGTCCTGTTATTTTTGAATGCTTTAAACATTATTAAAAGGCCCAAACTATCGCATCATGGCATCCAAATGATACAAATGAATCATTACTATTTGTGATACATCTGAATCTCCAAATCCATGCAAATTTTCGGTTCGTAATGAAAGAAACCACCCATGTCTTTAAAGTAGTGCAAGTCTCCTTATTTCCCTCTTTGGGTGATTGATAAGCAGCAGAAAACTGATGGTCAACTCTCTGCTTGTCTTAGCACGTTGGCTCCTAGTGCTACCCTTTCCCCTCCCAGTCTGAATAGGGGGGGGGGTGTAGGAGGTTGATGCAAAGGAAAATTCAGTACTTGTGCTAGTTCAGGGGTCTGCAACCTTTAAGACATAAAGAGCCACTTGGACTCGTTTCCGAAGGGAAAAAAAAGACTGGGAGCCGCAAAACCATTGCAACATTTAAAACAAATCCGACACTGCATATATTGTTTCTTACCTTAATGCAGTGGTGGGCAACCTTTTTTTTTTCAACTGAGCCAAATCTCGCCAAAACCACAATTGAAATTTATTTTGAGAGCCACATTTTTAAAACTGAAAATACATCCCCCCTATAGTAATTCATCCCCCCTATAGTAATTCATCCCCCCTATAGTAATTCATCCCCCATATTGTGTCAATTCACTTACCTTTGCTCTGCGCGTTCCTCTCGCCGTGTTCCCGCGCCGTTCCGGTCTTCAGGGCGGACTGTGAGAGGAGAGGAGTTCGTCACGCTGCCCCACCTACATCCTGACAGCCAATGTTTGCCACGCTCCACGGGCCGGATTAAAAGGTCCGCCGGGCCGTAGTTTGCCCATTGCTGGGCTAACTGCAGAGTCCTGACTTTTGGGGCAGCCGCCCGAGAGGAGGGAGGGGAGCCGGCGCCCGGCACACAGAAGAGCCGCATTAAAATGTGTAAAGAGGCCGCATGTGGCTCGCGAGCCGCGGCTTGCTGACCACTGAGCTACGGCAACCCTATTGCCTGTCACCTGGTGGGCAGTGTGCTCCGGAGCCGCAGCAAAGGTGAAAAAGAGCTGCGGGTTGCCGACACCCGTGCTAGTTTGAGAATTACTTATTTAATAATGATTATGTGAATGTAGTTAATTGATTTTTAGCTGCTTTAAATTCAGCTTTAAGCTGGTCTAGCTTCCATGTGTATTAAACATGAACAAAATTACTATAGTTCTCCCTATAAGGAGTCTAATTGAAAAAGCAGGACAAATATATTTACTGTAAGGAGTTGATTAACCCCCTTGTCTACCAAGGGAAGTTAATAAATGCCCTGTTAACAAAGGGAACAAGTCTTTTTCACCTGGCTTTGGGCGTTCATATAAAAGTGATCTGTTCAGCTGCAAGGCTGCCAGTTCACTTTTATGGTACTGGGTATGGTACCTCAGCTATGATCGTTTTTGGGTTCATAACTGTCAAACACCCTGCTGAAAAGCTGGGTAAACAGTCGATGAGGCCCAAGTCTGTATTCGATCAGCTGAAGTGGAGGCACAGGGGAGACATTAGGTGTCTAATACAGCCCTTATGTCACCATAAAGAGAACCTGTCCATGTTACCATATAGGACGTCCCCCTGATGGTGATGAAGGTTAAAATAAAAAAAAAAAAGTTTTAATTGCTTCCTGACCGCCCAATAGCAGAACTACTGCTACAGGGTGTCAAGGCTGCACAACATCACGTGTGTATATATACATGATTTTGTATTTGTGGCTACAGCTGTCGATCACTGGGTCCTGGCTGGAGATTTCCTGCCAGCACTACGGCACTAGGAGATTGCCAAGGAACGCTAACAGGGGAGAGGTCTGTATGTAAACACAGATCTCTCCCGTCAGCACCAGAGCAATACAAAGCAGCATTATTACATTGTAAAGCGCACACAGACAAAATAATAAAATGGCATACAGTTAACCCTTTGATCGCCCCAGATGTTAACACCTTTCTGCCCAGTGTCATTAGTACAGTGTCAGTTTTACTGTCACTGGAGGATGTCCGTGGCAGTTAGTTCCCACCTAGTGTCAGAATGCTCGTCGCAGTCCCACAGTAAGTTGCTGATTGTTGCCATTACTAGTATATTTAATAAAAAAAAAAAAAAAAAAAAAAAAGCAAAGACGTAGCAGAATACATTTCACCCCAAAATTTATGGCGAAATTGATTTTTGAAAAAAAAATTTTTTTTTACTGGATAGGTTTTACAGCAAAAAGTCAAAAATATTTTTTTTTTTTTAACCTTTTAACCCCAATATTGTCGCATTTTTACTGTGTATGCAAAATTTTAAATCTTGACGTTTTTGATCTCGGTTTTACTTGGCACATTATCTTTTAACATTTTAACATTTTATTTTGTTTTTAAAAAACAATAGGTGACTATTGTGCAATATAAAAAAACTGCAACTGCCACAGTTTTTATTCTAACGGGTCATTTCTTTCAGAAAAATATACAATTGCTTGGTTTTAAGTAATTTTCTACAAAGGAAAATGTAGTTTTTCTTCTACAGCTGTCAATCAGTGTTGTGGAAGAAGAGGAGATGCATACATGGCTTTTGCTCTGCATCCCTCTTATGCTGGCTGGCTGTGCGGCAGCCTGAACGGCTGCATGTTGTGTTGTAGTACCGAGTTGGAGGACGCACATTGTAGAGACTTCCACAGGACTTTGTTGCGCTGGCACAGTGGGCACTGAGAGAATGGAAATAAACGGTAAAGCCAGGGGACAATTGAAAAAGGAAGCTCTGAAGAAACTAAACAAAAATCAAATGCATGCGAGTTATCTTATTTTTACCTGATTTAGGAAAACATTTTGAGCCTAATAATTTAATATCAAGGGACACAGGAACTGAAACGTTGTGCCACTGTAAAACCACCATAATGTGTTGTATGTAAAAGAAAAAGGTAAGATTTCTCCTAAAACAGCATCCTTAATTTTTAAGACTTCTGTTTTTTTTTTTTTTGTGTAGGGCCGAAGTAGCAGCTTTCCTGGAAGAAGGCGACCTCGTGGAGGCAGTGGTGCTGGCAGCAGCCGAGGGCGAGGAAGATCAAGGTTAAAATCCACAACCTCTTCTATTGAGACTCTGCCGGTGAGAAACTCTAAACATCTGATTTGAAGAATATTCTCTTTCATAGCAACACTTATTTATATTTTCTTTTTTGTGAATTTTTCAAACATAGAAACTGATTCTTACTCCATCGTTGCAGCTCTTGGACAGTTTGATTTTTTTTTTTTTTTTCTTTATTGAATAGGACCTAAATCTGTATGTAGTGAAGACTGTGCCTGCTTAGATTTTTTGTTTGGTTACATTTTTTTTATGTTCCTTTTGTGTAAAATCAAGCATAATTGTAAGTTGCAGCAATGCGCATCAATTTCAACATATGAAATTAAATTTTTTGGTTTGATGATATTTATTTTTTCAAAGCAGGGTTAGTCTAAATGCAAAAGCACTCTACTGCAACTTTTAGGTTTTTTTTTTTTTTTAATATCCATTACATTAAAGACATTGTGTCTCACACATCCAGAGCCATGGCATTGATCACATGGTCTCTGCCAAAAGATGGGAGTGACATTCATTCAACACTGGTAAAATAGTGGCTTCTGAATACTGATAGTCTCTTCTAAAAAAGGGAAGATGTGATTATTGCTCTAAAATTACTAGCCTTTGAAATGTTGTTTGGTTTTCTTGAGGCATCAAATATCCCTGAAACCAGTTATTACATTATAGAACTTGTCTCACATGGGTGTTATCTGACCTTGAGACCAATTAAAAGCACTTTCCAAGGCTGACTAATAAAAACTTTGCATTGGTACGTAAAGAGGATTTTAGCTTTGTTTATCTCTGGAAAAATGATTCATGCTTATACACAATAAGGCCTCATACACACTAGGCATTTGCCTCAACGCTTTTTTCCTGGCAGGAGAAAAGCCGCAATAAAAACATGCCAAAAGCCATGTTTTTGCAAATGTGTTTAAGCGAGTCCTTGGCATTTATTCATTTCATTGGCCAGAATATGAATCTATTCTTGCCATTGAAATGCATGAATGCCCAAGTGCTTGACTCCCTAGCGCTTAAGCTTGTTTACACGTATTTAGGCACGTCAGATGCTTTCTGCCAAAACGCTGCTGCTCCTGAATGCGCTGGCAGTGGATTTTTTTTCCAGCCTCTAAATGCCCCTACCATAAATGCCTTTGTGTGCATGGATGCATTGGCTAACATTGACGGGCTTTTAAAGGCAGGGAAAGAAAAAATATGCAAGACTCCTCTAGAAGTGGTGTTTAAAACTCCAAGTGTGCATGAGGGCTAAAAACGAAATCACTTTAGCAAATGACTAATCCGCTGTGATACTGCATTATGCTGTGCTATATTCTCATGTATCTTAATTTCAATGTGTGGTCAGATGGCAGATGTTGAAAGTTCTCCTGGTAAGGAAGACGAGGAAGAGGAAGATGATACCATGCAAAACACAGTAGTGCTGTTTTCCAACAATGACAAATTTGTACTAATGCAGGTGAGGTTCAATGCTGACTACATTATTCTTGTGTGTTTTTCCCTTTTTGTGTCTATCACCAGTATGTTTTGTAACTTATTTTACTTTTATTGCCTAGGATATGTGTGTGTTGTTTGTGGGAGCTTTGGACGTGGCTCAGAAGGGCATCTTTTGGCGTGTTCCCAGTGTTCACAGTGCTATCACCCCTATTGCGTAAACAGCAAGGTAATAAAAAACTGCTAATATTTTTTACACCTCACCATCTTAGAAAGATAATTGAGCTTGGTGATTCTGGTAATTCTATATCCCACACAGCACTGAAAGTGTAGTTTTTAGTTTTGTGAATTGAAGTATTAAACATTGCTTACTTTGCTGGTTCTTGATCAGAGATCATTGAAAGGTCTGTGGGCTTCTGTTGACAGAACCTTGGAAAGTTTTCCCATGTGTTTAGAAGGCAGTCAGTGGCTTTTGATAGGCTGACATGGGCTTTCCCACAGTTATCAATTTTTAGTATGTCTGCTTTTATATATGCTTCTTTTGGAATATTCAAGTAGCTTACAGTTGAGAATGGCCACCATACTTTGTGCAATGCTATACTCTCTTGTTCTATGCTGTTCATTGTGTCTGCCAATCTTTCTAGAATCTCATTTTTGTAAAGCTTTCAGTCACATATTCTTTATTGCTGTATGTTTTACCTGGATACTGGATATCTGGCTCATATGCTAAAGTATTGTATGTGCAAAATCAATGACTGGAGTTTTTAGAGACACATTCTTTCCTTCACTGCCTAGACAGTTTTCAGAGGTTACTGACAAAGGATTGTTGCTGACAATAAAAAAAAAAAAAAAATCATCCATCTATCGAATTTTAAAAGCAAGTGGCATTTATGTACTTTTGAAAGTGATATTCATCAAGTCATCAAATGCACTGAGAATTTTCATACAAACATTTGTTTGAAAATCTACTAGTGTATGGCCAGGTTAACCTGGTTCTCTTAATCGTACAGTACAGGACACTGACAAAGTATTCATAAACTCTCGGTTATAGGCTCAAGCCTTCAGGTGATTTGACATTGGTAAAGCTTTTGAGTACACAAACCGTCAGCTTGTGATTAACCCTTCACTTTTTGGATATACTTAGTACATCCAAAGAGCTCAAGTGGTTATGGTGGCGTTTAGCACTGTTCTGTGCATAACTCTTCCAAACAGGAGCTAAAGGGCACTTAAATGGCTTAGGGAAAGCTGCTGGAAACTTGCTGACAGATTCATAAGTTTGCTGTTCACACTGCGCTTATATAAACTGAAGCCTGTGTGAAAGGGGCCTACCTGACCTGGTTCCCAGTATGCCAGCCCACAGAGTGGAATTATGAGGAGATAGAGGCAATATTGGAAAAGTGGTGGAAAATGTTTCTCCCTTAGAATGTTCTATCAAAAGGGTCTTCACACAATATGCTTGCTAATGTGGAAAAGCTCACTGTTGTCATCCGCAGAAGCCTTGGCGTTGTAAAGCTTGATTCTTTATCTCGGCACACCTTTTTTGGGCATAAAGAGACCTACCAATTTTTTTCAAAACATTCCTTGTCCGTAAACTGATAAAATGTGTGCCTATGACAGTTTCATCACTCCAGATAGGATTTATCATTTCTCTTCCCCACCATTCTTTCAATCTCTGCAAAATATCCTGTGGAAAATAATTCTCAAAGTAGGGGTCTATTCCTGTGTTTGATCCTACTGTCTCAGTCTTAAACTCGCATATCATTGTACCTAATAAAGATGTTCCTTCTTTCAAAGTTTCTGCTGATAGAAAGTTTGAGATGCTCTTAAGAGAGAACTGTGGATGTAAAAAAAAAAAAAAATACTAATCAAGGTATGGTGCATCTGTCCCGCACCGGCTCTGCAGTGAGAACTGAGCAATCAAATATAGTTTATCGCTTAGTTTGCCCCTACGTTTTGAGTAGAGGGCAGTTACTGTCATGTCTCCAGTCATGTCTCCAGCTTTCTGTTCTTCTGTTCCAGCTTTCACTGGAGTGCTGGGCTATGCAGGGTGTGGAAGGAGCTGACTCAGGCTCTCGTCAGGTTGCTGAAAGGCTGAACCAGGCGCCAGTCCAGGTTTCTTGGTTGGATCCCAACCATATGGTTGGAATCTTTTCAGAGCCTGGACTTGGCTGAGTGACGTCAGCTGACAGCAGACTTTAGTCTGCTGTCAGCTGAAAACAGGTCACAGGAGTGCAGAATGAATTGCACTCCTGTGACCTACAGGAGAAGTGTAGCCAAAAGAGCTTTGGCTATATTTCTGCTTCATAGTTGAATTACACTCCTTGGTGTCAGGGACTGATATGAATCTGCAATATATATGTAAAGAACTGCGTAAATAGTAGGTGCTATATAAAAAATACCTGTAATACATAGTCTTCAAACATCCAGTGTGTTTCGGGGGCAACACTACTGCCCCTTAGTCAGGATAAAACTTGGATGGGCTTAAAGAAAGTGATTTTCACAGGTCTATATTATAACCAGTGTTGAACTCTCCTCCATGGAGGAACAACCTGACAACAGTTACTAAGCAGCAGCTCCACTCTGAAGTTGGGTCTGTTAACCCTTGATGCTGTTGATCCTAAGGGCACTGTTCTGCCATTTTCATTTGATTAGGTCACTGGGTGCCATTATTCACTGTTTATGCCAATTTGTAAACTGGAATAGGTTTGCACTGTGGGATTGAACACTGATGTCATCCACTCTACAAACAAGAAGATGCTTCTTTGACATTAAATGGTGAGAAAAATTGACACAGAGTCATGTACAACTTCAACCATGCCAGCTGCCTTCCTACAGTGATTTTGGTCTCCTCCGGTCATTTGACCCTCACCTGCTACCAGTTGTCTAGGTTTTTGCCATACCTGATGCCTTGTCTCTTACGCTGTTATAACATGTTTAATGAATTCTAGACATGGGACATGACCTTCATGTCTTCTATGCCATCAGCCACAGAGACTGTCCAGTCTGTTTGATGAGCTCACCCCTGAGTAGTAGTCTACTGCTATTACTCTCAAATTAAAGAGACTGTTTTTGGTTCTAAATCCATGTGGTACGCACCACTCTGAAAGTAGAGCATTAGCCTGTTGCTTCTTCCAGTGTGGTTTCCAGCCTTGGCTCATTTAAAATCTGCAAGACTTTAAAGTGGTTTTAAACCTCAAACATGAAATATGAGCAAAGCATGTCCTTCTATAGTAATGGAATGAGGTAAACGAGCGCTGGGTAAATGGACAAATATAAAAAGGAAAAGCTGCTCGCATAAAAGGTAAGCCTCTGGAACCTCCTCATAAAATGTAAAAGTATATATATGCAGCGCTTAAAACAAGTCAGAATCAATGGATATCAAATAAATGACAATATGGATGCATAAATATTAATAAAAAAAAAAAACCTGATAAGTAGTATCATATATGTGTATCTTGAAATGAAACAGGTATGCACTGCGCTCCAAGGCTCTGAGGACAGTGATGTGAAACGACGTCACAACTTGACGTTTAAAGTACATATAGTGACATAAGTAATAAAAGTCAATATTTTCCAAAATCAACAATATAGGGTGAAAAATCCGTGACTGCTGTGGCTGTGAAAATAGATGTAGATTGCACTAACCAGAAAGCGCAATCTATTGCGCATTGGAGTATATTAGGACCAACTCCTGGTCATCTGGGTCTGGAACCATGCAGCACAGGGGGTCATCTGGCCAGCAACACCAAGGCAAGTAACACACCACAGGAGGATATCCAGGCTGTACAGCAACCTTTTTCACTGCAAGCACACAGTCTTCTCTGGTAGCTGACAACCTCACAGCTGCTCTATAGATCATTGTAGACACACAAATTAAGGTGCATTTACATTCATCAAGTGCTGCTTCTGCCAAAATGCTACTGCTCCTGGATGCACTGGCAGTGGTTTTTTTTTTTTTTTTTACAGCTCCTAAAACCCCCTGCCACTAAAAGCTTCTAAAATTCTATGTTTGTATGGAGACACAGGATAATATGGAGGGGTGTTTGGAAGCTGGAGAAAAAAAAAATGCCTGACGCCCCTAAAAGTGACTGCAAAAGTGCCATTTGATGGCTTGACATGTCAGTTGAGAGCATAAGCTAACTGTGGCAGTCATCGCTCATGATGTGTTAATGCAATGGTTTTGACAAAGTTAAATTAGTGGGTTTAGTTTTGCTTTAAAATAAAGACAAAAAAAGGCAGTACAAAAATACTATTTTTGTGAAATTTTTGTTTGTCTCTAATCTAGATCACTAAAGTGATGCTACTAAAAGGTTGGCGTTGCGTGGAGTGCATTGTCTGCGAAGTGTGTGGCAAGGCCACAGATCCCTCTCGCTTGCTTCTGTGTGATGACTGCGACATCAGTTACCACACTTACTGCCTCGACCCACCTCTTCACACTGTGCCCAAGGGTGGCTGGAAATGCAAATGGTAAGCATTTTCATTAGTTTACTCATGTAATATCCTGAATGTAGTAGCCATGTGTTCAGCCTTTATTATTCTACTTATTATTAGGAGAATTGAGTTGTGGCCTATGTTGTTCTATCAAGACTTGTTTAGCTGTATGGTTTAAAAGATTATTATTCTTACTTTGGAAGTTAATATGTTTAAAGTAAACCTATACCGAAGGTCATATGGAGGCTGTTATTGCTGACCTGATAATTCTAGGTGCCTGGCTCTTTGTGTATTGAATTTTTCAAAACCCAAAGCAGACCAGGAATGTCAGAGCTCCTATCTGCACACTTGTTCTGAATCGGGCCTAGGATAGTACTTGAGCCAACGGACAAATATGACAGCCAGGAAACTAACAGTGGCAGACTTCATACTACCTAAATAAAAATTCTTTTGAATTGAAATTAAATGTAAACTGTATGTTTAATGAGTGTTAAATGGTATTACACTATCAGGAGAGATTTATCAGAATTGACAAAATACATGTCTGACCTCTGACTGCGATTGAGCACCCAGAGGGTTTGGTGGAGGTCATTACCTGACCAATGTCTTTTAGAAACTGGAAATTGCTGAAGTAGACCCTGCTACTCAAGTGATCTCTACTTCTGTATCCTGTGCTGATTGGGCAGCCTGATGCATTCTAAACATAGGGAGTCTGCTGCTCCACACAGGCACCATTCAGAGAAGGCATTGCATTTTGTGATTGAACGAGGTTGAGTGCGATATCACTTCCCTGCTTCTCCACCTTATCCAATCAAGGAATGCTTTGCATTCTTTCAGGAAATGCAAAGCATTCTCTGAATGATACCTGTGCTGAGTGGCCAACCCCCTTGAGTTTATTAAGCAGAGGTATTACTGCTTGTAATGGGACCTGGAAGCAAGTGGGGATTACTGGAGTAGCAGTTTCTACTTCAGTGATTTTAAACTTCCTGGGACATCTGCCAGGTATGGTATATACATAGTTACATTTGTCCAAGCTAGACCAATGTAACTTTGTATAACCTACTAATGCCTGGAATTATTCTTTAACAATTCTTTACTATAGTGAAAATTTGGAGGGACATAAAGATGTAGCTTTACATTATCAGAATATGCAAATTGTCCAATATATGTTTGACCTTTGCAGTTCTCACTGAATGCTATTATTACAACATACAACAGGAATATGTTTTTCTATATATGATTCGCCCTAGCTTACCAAAAGTTTGTTGCTGTTGCATTGGTAAATGTAATTTTGGTTGCATTTGTCTGTTCTCCTGCACACTGCAAAGAAATGTGAAAAAAATAAAGATTCCATGTTTTATGGACATTTATTGTAAATTAAACTTTTAAATTAGGCTTGAAGTTACCCATTACTTTAGTTTAATTTGAAAAGAACTGTGAACATTAAGACGAGTTTTTGTCTTGCAGGTGTGTTTGCTGCATGCAGTGTGGATCTATTAGCCCTGGCTTTCATGCAGATTGGCAGAATAACTATACACACTGTGCACCATGTGCTAGTTTGGTTAGATGTCCAGTTTGCCATCTCAACTACTTAGAAGGTGATCTCCTGATACAGTGTCAGAACTGTGAAAGGCAAGTTTGTTTTTTTTTTTGTTTTTTTTTTGTCGTGTTCTCAGTGATGTGCTTTATTCTCACAGTGTGAAAAGAACAAAATTATTTTTGCTGTTGTGTACAGGTGGCTCCACGCTGTGTGTGAGAACCTTTTTACAGAAGATGAGGTAGAACAGGCAGCAGATGAAGGTTTTGACTGTGCATCTTGTCAACCATTCATTGTGAAACCACTTCGTACGTATCATGTTTTAGAGTTTCACTGTGTGTGTGTGTGTGTGTGTGTGTGTGTGTGTGTGTGTGTATGTGTGTATGTATATGTGTGTGTGTGTATATATATATATATATATATATATATATATATATATATATATATATATATATGTATAATTTAGTACAGCACTGTATGGTGGTGGGAGAAAAATATTAAAAAATGTGTTTTTTTTTTTTTTTTTGTTTTTTTGCACATGTTCCTCTAGCTCCTATAATCCTTCCACCCAGCCCAGTAAAGTTTAAGGAGCCAGGTAAGTACTAAGTAATGTTTGCTTATATGGAATTATAATTTTTTGCAGCATTATTCCATAAAATGTGTAATTTGTTTCTGGCAATTTTCAAACCTGTTTACTCTTTTTATGTAGAGCCTCAATATTTCCGATTTGAAGGCGTTTGGTTGACAGAGGCTGGAATGGCTTTGCTGCGCAGCCTCACCTTATCTCCCATCCAAAAAAAGAAACCTAGGCGCTCTCGGCTAAGTACCGGTGGTGAGATTTTCTTGGATGGTCCAGAGCATGGGGCATCTGAGGAAAGAAAAGATGATGCAGAGTGTGAAGAGCAGAAGGTAGAAGGTATGTTTGTTGCATTGAGTTGATTCAGTAGAGTGCCATATAAAACTTCTTTGTTTATCATGCATCACTGGTCACAAAGCCACTTTAAGAATCCTTACAAACAGGGTTATGCGTCGCCTAAAAGTGATTGGATGCTGGCAGGAAGTCCCCACTTCGGCATAACCAGTGTTTAAAGTTGATGGTCACTGCTTTGAAGCTCTCTGCACAATTCTACCAGATTCTCAATGGTTCCAACAGAGATCAGGATTGGTTTCATCTGTATTCATTCCTACAGCTATGATTGCTCAGAATGGTACCCAGACAATGCACTGGACAAAAAGTGTGCACAATGCGGGATGGCCTATAACGTTACTCTTTGGCACTGGACCCTGCATTTACAGAAACCTGCGCAATGACATAAGGTGTTTTCTAGCAGCACAATTCGTTTTGATGGGTAAAGCTTGGACCCACTGATGGTCTTGCAGCTGACTGGTGAGTGTTCCTGGGTTGCCCTGCTGGTTCTCACAGGTAGCCATTGCCTCTTGCTTTTCTTGGGCGGTTGAAGGCTAGTAGTCCTGGGGCTGGTATTTAGTGTGCTGCTTTTGCTGACTTAGCTTTGTGGGTGGTCAGCTGCACTGTTTGAGATAGTCCACTGCTCTTTTTTTATGCCTGAATTTCTTTTATTGGCCTTGTCTGCTGCCTCTCTCCTACTACACTGATTCTCTGTTCCTGTGCCTCCAAGTGCCACATTGTAGTGGCAGTGAGGAGCAGTCTTTTCCCCATCCTTGTTGAGGCCAACCATGCATGTGCTGATGTCACAAATAGGGCAGAGTTTTACATTGGTCATTGTTACCTCTTTGTGGCTGTTTCAGAGGCAAGCACTCTGAGCAGTGCAGCAACAACAGCGGCTTGTCAGCAGCATCGCAGTAACCCCAGGAGGCCACTGGCCACCTTCAGCTGGAAGCACTATTCTAAGGCAGCTGGGCTCAGTAAGTTTCCTTCTCAGGGGCCATGTCCGCTCCCCCTTGGGGGCAGTAGGGGCACTGGCAGATTAGTGGGAGCATTTCCAGGGGTAGCCGGTGCACTTGTGCAGTCGCACAGTACGCTTTTGGCTAAGGATTACTATTGTTAGCGAAGGTCTTGGTAAAAGTGAGCAGGTCATATGTTTCATAGAAAACAAAGAGGAGGGGGATACTGGGGTCCATGTACTTCCGTCTGCTAGGAAGGAACCTTTACGCAGCCCCCATTTAAATTTTTCCCAGAGAGCCAATGTGTCCCTTTTGACTCTGACTCCATTCATCTTTCGGGAAGCTCTGTGGCACCTTCCTCCAGTTCCTACATTGCAAAGGAGGATTTGTTTGCATTGGCGGCAATGTTACAACAGCTTTCTGACTTTCTTGCTGGCTCAGCACCTTGAATGCATAGGTGTTCCCCCTCTCTTCCTCTCTCATAATTGCAAAAGGAACTTTGGAGGAAAATGCAAAAGCATACGACTTGGTACCTGAAGATGGGGAGGCCTAAAACTCTGTGTCTGCGGAACCCCAGGGTCCGGATTTGACTCAGAAGGCCTTTGTGCATTGTCTTTTTGGAAGTGGTGTGCATTGATCTGAAATTGATGGTCCTCAAGTCCTCTTATTAGAAAGTTTTTACCTCTGGGATCATCGTGGCTGGCACAAGATTCTTAGTCATCCACTATACATCTTCACCTTAAATTATAAGTAAAGGCAAAACTTTTTTTTAGTTCTGGATAGAGTGGGGAGGTATTAGAAACCCCTGTCAGTTTTTATTGCAATCTGTGGCCCCGTTAGGGAGATTCACCCTCTTTGTCCTGTTTACCGTTATCATTGAAAGTAAAAGAAAAGCCCACATCTTGGGTTGTTAGTGGGGAAAGCTTCCAATGGGGACACTAGTTTTGATAAGCTGGCGGTCCCCAAGGAGTTCCCTTACTTTGCAGGGATTTCCTCACTTCCTGTTTGGCTATGGGACAGGAAGTTAAGTAAAATCTCTGCAATAGGACCCGGTGAAAAAAAACATTGACAGGGGTTATAAGCCTCCCTTGCTTTATTTCAACATGGGAACAAAAAATAGTGTTCCTATGGTTTAATGATATTTTGTACCCACCCTTACAAGGTGTGTGCTCCACTAAAGATATTAGTCAGCAATATTCCATGGAGGATAAATTCACCAAGAGGAGTATACCCTTGGTAGATGTTGCAATCTCTAATCTTAACAAGAACATCAGATGACTGGAGGATGATGTTCCATTCTTAAGGATGCTACTAACAAATCCGTGAAAATCTTGTTTAATGCATATTTTGCTTTGGTGGATGTAGCTTTTCAGCCAGTGGTTGCAGCGATCAGAGTCTACCAGATCCTTAAAGTTGGAGCGAGAGGTCTGTCCAGAGGTTGGTGCCTCTGTTAATACCAAATTAGGCTAAAGCCTGGCGTATTTCTCTCGTGCCCTCTGTTTTGCTGTCTAAGTTTTTTGAAGTATTCCATTTAGCAAATTATTTGTCAGTGCACATGCATAGGATTCTCTGGCTAAATTGCTAGTCTGCAAGAACATGCTGGTAAGTTTTCCTTCTGACAGGGAACATTTGTTTAGACTTGACCTGGATAAGTATATCCAGAAGATTTTGGGCAGCAAAAGCTCTTTTATCTCTTAGAAAGAAGGGCAAGGGCACGACTCAAAGACATTACTTTTGCTGCTTATGGGTCGAAACCTCAGTCTCAGTTTCTTAGAAGTCCTGGGCTCCCAAACCAGAAAAATTGGTGTCCAAGTCTTCACGTCAATGAAGGGGAGCCCATATTTGTGTGGATGAGGGGTCGTGTGCAGGCTTTTGCGGAGATTTGGCAGGGGGAGATGGCAAACAAGTGGGTTTAGTGTACCGTGGCTCACAGCTACAAGCTCCAACTTTAACGTTCATGCTTTTAAATGTTTCCTTGAATCCGCAAAAAAGATTGGCTCTTTTGCAAGCTCTTGACCTTCATGTTTCTTAGGGAGGAAGTGTGCCAGTTACAGAGGACAAAAAGTTCTGTGGGTTCTAGTCAAATCTCTGACGATTCCAAAAGCAAATGGCGATGTTGGCACCACAAGTATCTTGGGAAAAATGGTTTGCCTCATACAAGGCATTTCCTTTTGCTCAGTTTTATTCCAGGCATCTGCAGTGGAATGTTCTGTTGATCTGGGACGATGCAGTTGTTGAACTCTCAGATTTTTTTGTTTTGTTTTTTTTACACCCCAGCATTCTTTGGTCTCTGGACTGGTGCATGATTTACGGCCACTGGAGAAGGAAAAGCTTTTTCTCCCCATCTCCTGGAAGGTGCTGATGATGGGTGCCAGCTTAATGGATTAGGGAAGGCCAGAAATACCAGTGGTTATGATTGCCCTGGCTTGCCCCAGAAGAACATGGTATTCTGGCATTGGGAACAGTGTCAGTGGACAGTCCTTGGGTCCTTCTGGATCCTTCCTACCTCCTGTTGCATGGATCGATCTTCCATCCAAGCCAGCATCTTAAGAGATGGGGCAGTCTGTTTTTGTTGTTCCTGCTCTTTGAACAGCTAGAAAGGCTAGTTTGAGGAAGATTGACCACAGGACCTGGAAATCTTATATTGTTTGGTGTGAAGCTAGGAATTTTCATCCTTGCAAGTATGTTGTGATCTGTGTCTTAGCTTTTCTCCAAAAGGGGGTTGATATGCAGCAGGCCTTGAAACAGAACTATATTGCATGTGAACACCACAAACCAAAAATGCTATTAAACTAATTTTTAAATATTCAAAGCAAGCCTATCCATCCATGTCTACATGCTTTATTTTTCTGAGAAATCACTTTGAAAATCCTCAGGGATTTGCGATTTGTATCGACCTCCTCCGTACCATTAAACTGATGACCTTTAGGAGGCTTTAAACGTGTTGCCTATAAAAAAAAAAAATAAAGGGAACTAAAGTTTGTCTCCATTTCATGAGTGCACGCAAACTGAGAATTGTCATGTTGGGTATTCACTTGGTATATCCTCATCTCTTATAATATAAGAAACAAAATGGGCAATTTATTGGCTTTTTGTGCCCTAAAATTAACTTAAGTGTGCTTTTTACTTGAATTTTGATGAAAAATTTTAAACTGCCACTTTTATTCTCTAGGATGTCTGCATTCAGAAAATATATAATGTTTATGTAACCTTCAGGCCTAAAATGATTGTATGTGTGCACAAAATGCTAAAGGAGCTCTGGCAGCAAAAGGGATAAAGGATAAGTTCACCTTTGGAAACATGTTACATGTTACACCAGTTTTATGGTGGAACATGTAACATGATGTTGCTCCTGCAGGCGATCCAATGCCTCTGTGTGACAGTGTTACGCGGAGAATTCCCCCACACGAGCTCCACCCACATGACCACATCATCCATTCAGAGTTCTGTGATGGAATCCACTATGAGTACCAACATCCTTTGCGGATGTCAGCTTGTAGCTCTCAATGAACTACCACGGCGCTGTTGAGCACTGTGGTAGTTCATTGATTCTTCCTGTCCATGTGAAACTACCTGCCTGTACTATGTATGGGCAGACAGATTACACTGACAGTCTGCATGGCACCAGCAATCTTCTGATCGCTGATGCAATGCTTCAGTCTCCTTAAAAAAAAAAAAAAAAAAAAAAAAAAAAAAAAAAATTTTTTTTTTTTTTAAACCTGCAAAAAATGTCAATTTTATTTTTTTTTAAAAGGTGACCGTCTCCTTTGATGGCTCGGACACCAGGGGCTGATTTGGCACCCAATTTTTTCCATCCAAGCACCCAAGTGTTTCCGTGTGCGAGGGTAAACTGAGGGTACACCTTGTTTACTTATTCAGCTGAGATCTTAGCATTCAGGGTGCAAGTGTACAATCCAAATGCACACATTCCTGCGTTAAAAATGGCTGTGTAGAAGTGGTTGCTGCAGCGACCATCAGCTGGAACCGAACAGAAGGGAGAATGTCACCAGCACACTGAGGATCACCAATATGGGTCCAAAAGTTTTAATTAAC